TCAAATCTAGGTCTTGGAGTGCACCTGAAACGTCAGCAGCCACAACCAGAGCCTGGACTTCCCCTCTGCCACGGAGAAAACAGGGCACAACTGCTTGAACAGGACAAGGTCAGGCCAGCAGGAGCGAGCTGGGAGCTGTGGAGGTCAGAAGGGCACATGGAAGGGAGATTGTGCAAAGCTCTGGGCACTGAGGTTCCCTAAAACCTCATTGCTTTCGTTTGGGGTTTACAACTGCTGCTTGTCATTACTGTGGTTTATTGGGCTGTGATGCAGCAAGAGGAGCTTGTGCAACAGTCAGATTTGCTTACAGGTCACTGACAGAAGGGACGTGCTGTTTCAGGAGCCAGAGCTTGCAGGGAGTTTTCCTGGCGTTGGTCAGGTGGTGGGTACTTCAGAATCCAACAAAGTGCAGGAAAACGACGAGATGCCAGGTAAAATCTTAAATCTGCCTCAGAAATTCAGCTCATTCTTGAGGGGGAGGATTCTCCAACCTTACCAGGGCAGTGCAGGTGGTAGGAGGGGAATGTGAGGGTCTCAGCAAGGAAAGCAACACTTCTGGGTGTTGCCTCAGGAGCTGGAGCCAGCAGCACACACAGGATCCTCTCAGCATCAATCCTGCTGAAGAACGAGACATAAAATAGAAATTCAGCAGGTTTCCAAAAACACATCTTCCCTGTGCCTTTCTGAAAGGCCAAGCTTTCACCACATCAAAGGATGCTGAGGTAACCCTGCAGGCCTGGGGGGAGAGTTGATTGCAAACCTTTCTCCTACAAGCTCATTCTAAAAGTGTCAGTATCTTCAAGCCAAGTGTAACTGCACTGAATATGGGACAGTTTCTCTTCAGACTTTCACAACAGAATATGGGACATCAGAGGCCACAGATTCCTCCTTTTGCTCCTCCTAGACACTCTCGGTCTGCGTAAGCAGTGTCTGACAGGGGTGGGAAGTCAGAGAGACAGAAATCAATGGGTCTGTGGGTGCATCACTAAATAACCCAGCACATGAATCACTCAAGAGAAACATGAGTTTACATACAGCTGTACTCAGTCACCTCAAAGCTCAAGCTAAATATCCCCTTTGTACAAGCAGTAAAAAAAAAAAAAATTAAAAATGTCCAAGCAAAAAGGAATGGACCTTTACAATGTACAAATACACCCCGGGCAAGGTGAGAAACGTCCAAGTCCCTTAAAATGGTGAATGGTACCAGATTTTCACAGCAGAGCTACCTGCCTGCTGTGCATCCCAGCTGTGCACTGAACAGCCTGTTCTCACTGTTGATGTTGACAATCAAACACTGAGTGGGGCAGAAAGTGGGACAAGCTTCAAGGGAGGAACCCGAGAGCAGCTCAGGGCCTCGCTGGGGTGCTGAGAGCTCTCCCTGTCGGCTGCTGCGCTCTCTCCTTTCACCAAATCAGCCTCTTCTGGAGGCAAAATGTTTGTCACAAAGGTCATGCATGGACATGCCTCTCCCCTCTGCTCTGGTAGGTCCCAAAGCCTACTTGGAGCAGGCTCCCAACAAGCTTTCCAAGCCCCTGAAGCGCAGAGGGAGAGTGGGCAGTGCCCGAGCAGCGCCACAGGTAGGACTGGACCCCCCCAGACACCCCCAGGAGGAGGCCAGGGATGATTCTCTGGCCTCAGCTCCGTGCACAGCACCAGAACCCCCTCCTTGGGCCTCTCTCAGCTCCGTGGAACCTCCCAGAGAGGCTGCACCAGAGCACACGTGGCACTTGGCACTGGCTGCTGTCCCTGCAGGCCACTGCCACTCACCTGCTTTGGTTGCAGGGCTCTGATGGGCAGCAGAGCAGCGAAGAAATCCTGGTGGAAACATCTGGGCTGGCTGGCCTGGAGAGGTACAGGTACAGCCCCTCACCCCCTGCCTTGTCAGCATCTCCTCTTCCTCCTATTTCATCACTGCAGGTTTAGTTCAGTTGAGAAAGTAAATGGTCTTTCCCCTTTTAGACCGTAGAAACAGAAAAAAGGCCAAGTTTGTTCCTTTGGGAAAACCACTGAATTTTTCATAGTGAACATGCCATATTTTACATCTCTAACAAAAAGCTTCTGTTGTTCAAAATGTCACTTATTTATGTGAAAGTTTTCCCGACAGCAAGCCAAGGCCTAAGAGTTTGAAAGCATTGAAGGAGCTCTTTGCAGTCACTAAATGGGAGAATCCCTCCAGGAAAATGATGCCCAAGGTGGGAGGTCTCACTAACAACACTTTTCCACTCAGTCTTCTGGCAAGCCAAGACCCAAATAGCTAATGAAAAAAAAAAACCCCAAGCAGATTATTTTTAATCAAAGAAGTAGGGCAGAGTACTTACCAGACAGCCCTGGTTTAAAATGAAAAAGCTAAAAAAGGCCCATAACCCTCTTCAAGGCACCTTCAGGCTGGGAAAGCACAGCAGCAGCAGTTTGGAGCTCTGGGTTGGTCTGGTTGCCATGGACAGATGGGGGCTCATTCACCTCAAGGACATTCCCAAACATCAAACTCTCCTCTGGTGTGGTCACGGAGGCTGTGCCTGCAGAGTGGAGCTCACTCTTGGGCTGGCAGGGTTTTCTGATCCCCAGGGTGAAGGCAGCTGAGGAGGCCGAAGCTGCTGCCCGTGATTTCTGCACTCTGCGCATCAGATCCGAGAGCGGGGAGCAGAGGTACGAGGTGAAGATGCTGCTCACAGACACCATAGGGGACCTGCGCCAGCACCTCGCCCACATCAGGTAGTGCAGGACTCCCTCCCCTCCTTGCCTGACTCTGCAGGACCCCAGCAAAGGGTTCTTGAGGTCCTGGAGTTTCAAACATTGGCCTGAGTTGGGTCACAGCCCCAGCCCTGTGCCCACCTGACACTCTCCAGGCAGTCCGCAGAAGCTCAGAGTGTTTCACACCCACCTTTGCCACACAGCAACACAGATAAACTTCTGTCCTCCCAAAATATCCATCACATCCAGGCCCAGGGCTGCCTTTGCTCCTTCCAGCACTCACCCAACTGGTGCCACCCTTCCCAAGGTGCTGGAAGCTGAGCTGCAGCCTTTGCTTGGCTCAGCCAGCTCCGTGTCCCAACACATTTAACGCTGCACAAGGGTTCCCTCAGCCTGCTGGGGACAGCTCCAGGTGGCTGAGGGGCCCCCTTTGCTCTCCCCTCTTCCCACGGCTGCTGCAGGCCGTGGCCCTGGCCTCGGTGTGAGCCCAGGATGAGCTCAGTGCTGCTGGGATGCACGAGCCTCCTTCCTCCCCAGTGCAGCTGTGCCTGGCTGGCTGCACTTTGGGCTGGGAGCCCTTTGTTCTGCTCTTGCATAACCACAGCTGGATCAAAGCATCTCAGCAAAACCTTGGGGGACCCAGGGAGTAGGAGAGGATTGTGCTGTTCTTTTCCAGGGGTGGGAACTCGGACTATGAGATCATCAGCACCTTTCCCCCGAGGGTGTACACGGACAACTCCAGGAGCCTGCAGGAATGTGGGCTGGTCCCCAGTGCCTCCCTGCTGCTTCGGAGGAGAGAGCCCACCCAGCAGGAGGGGAGGGGGCTGCAAACAGCCCCCTAAGAGCTCCTCACCCCCCCAGCTCTGCACAGGGAGGGAGCTGCCTCTCACCTTACCCAACCTGGCTGGGAGAAGGAGAGGTTTTCTTTCCAGATTTAGTTTCACTGTGCCGTTACCTGGGATGGAGAAGAGCTGGGAGCAGCCACTTGGCTGCTGCCTGCCGGGCCCAGTCCTGCTGCCTCACAGTGCCCCAGGATAGGCAGGTGCCAACACAGGGACACTTCCACCAGCTCACCTGGGCTCCAGGCCTCTCAGCTCTGTGCAGGGTTACACAGGCTGAGCCCTGCCCAGGGGAGCCTGCCAGCTTCACCCCAGCAGTTGCTTAGCTGGGCTCAGGGGCTCTGGAGCAGCAGGATGGACACACAGCCAGGGGCAGTTTGCTTTCTACACACAGCTGCTCCCTACAGATTTCACCTGCTCTGATACCAGGGCACAAACAAGCTCAGTTCCACGGTCTCTGCTGGAGCTAAACCTGAAGGCCTTGAGCCATCACAGTGCTGGGGCTGAGCCAGGCTCAACTCAGCTGGGAGATCCTGCTGCTGGGTTTCCTGTACGTGCACAGCTCCTTCCCTTGGACAGCCCCCAAGCTGCAGCGGGGCCCGGGCTCCAGCCTGCCTGGAGGTACCCGCCCTCCTCCTCCTCCTCCTGCTGGATGCTGCAACAGGACACCGTGTCATTGGAGACGAGCAGAATCCCTCCGCTGCGTCTCTGCTGAACCCTGAATAAAGCATCTTCCTTCCTCTCCCGTGGGCTGGGGCTGCACTTTTCCCTTTCCCCAGCACATTTTTCCCATTCCAGCTGTGACAAGCTCTCACTTGACTCCCAGCTGACAACACTCCCACTCATGTGAGGCAGGGCCTTCTGGCAGGTTCCCTCTTCGCAGAGACCCAGCCCTCATTAAAGGCTCCCAATAAAATCCTTTATTTCAGCTGTAATTTCAATTTCCTTTAGATTTCAAAGGCTGTGAAAGCTCAGGGTGGCCTGAGCTCTTCCCAGACCCCTCTGAGCAGAGCTGCACACCTCAAACACAGGAAGCAAACCAGCTGCTTCCCGTGAGCTCACACATCCCTCCCTCAGCTTCTTCCTTTCTCCACCTGTAGCAGATTCAGGGGCAGCTGTTTCCCCTGCCCCTCTGTACCCTGGTCTAGGCAATCTTCGTGCCAAGGGTTTGTTTTTCAGTCCCACATCTGGCTGAGGCTGTCCCTGCCCCGGGCTGTCACTGTCACCACGCAGGGGAGAGGAATGCTCTGGTACCTGTCACTACTGTGCCGTGGGACATTCACACACGTCCTGTCAGCCTCTGATTAGCAGCAGCAATTTAAGGTGTTAAGATCTTTGTGTCAGGCTGCAGCAGCACGTACAACCCACTCAGCTTCTCAGCTGGAAATGACTCACAATCCTTGGGTTGGGTGATGTTTAACCTGTAGCCAAAATAAAACCGGATTTAAAAGAAACGCAGGAGTAGCGCTGTGAAAGGTACAGTAACATTTAATAGCATCTCGGAAGACAACACTGGTTATAAACTTGCTTTTTGGCAGGAAAACAAAATGCACTTGGTCCAGGATTGCAAAAAAGCCAACTCAAAGAGGAAAGATCGGACAGCTGGAGCCATCAGCTGTTCTGGGGCAGCCCTGAGCCATTAACGCTCACAAGGGAGCCCAGCCAGGGTGGAGGGAGGCCAGAGCAGCACAGATCCCACTTCCAGCCCCACCCATTCCCCAGGCAGCCTTCGCTCCCAGCTCCACCGTGGTGGGCACTCAGACCCCCAATTCTGTGCAGTATTTTTGCATTAAATTAAGACAAACAAAAAACAGAACAAAACAAAAAAAAACCAAACCCAAACCCCTTTACTTAGTTGCCATAATCTCTGCAGTTGAGATGAAGAAGGGGGAAAAAAAAAGAGGAAGAAATAAGGAAGTGAGGCAGCAGAATTTACAATTTTAACAGCAACTGGGAGAAGTGGGAAGTACCCTGCAGCCCTAAGCCCTTCCCTCCCGAGGCAGAGGAGGGGGCTGAGGGCCAGGGGCACCTCGCACAGCCCCGGAGGCTTTGCTGTTTACAGAGGCACTGGAAGCTGCCGTGAGCCAGGCCCAGCTCTGCTCACAGGCCAAGCGCAGCGAGCATCACACTTTCTTTGGATCCCTCTGAGATGATACCGGGGTGAGGCAGGAGGGAGTTGGAGGCAGCTGCAATGAGGAGTTTTGGTCGTGGTTTTTTTCCCTGTGCTGGGATATGAGTGGCGGTGCCAGGACAGCGCTGACAACCTGGAGGTGAAGGTGGTCGGAGATGAGGGCGCTCAGGAATGCAGGTAGAGTCCAGGATGGGAGGGGAAGCAGGGCTCAGGCCAACTTCAGGAACTCCTGCAGAGTGTTTTGCTCCACTGCTTCCACAAAGAGCTCGTAATCCTACGGGGAAACACCACACGGTCACTCACGAGGCAGGAGGGTCCCCGAGCCCACGGCACAAACTGGTCACAGCCAGGCACCAGCTGGTTGTGCCAAGGATGACAGGACAAAGCCCCACTGCCACCCAAAGCCTGCGCTCCCCTTTTCCCAAGGCAAACGGTGAATCCTGGCAGCACCTGGTCCCTGCACCTCACAAGAAATAACTTGCAAGGCATCTCGAACATCTGTAGCAAAGGCAAGGACAGGACATCACCCACCACCCAGCCCCAGGGTGCCGAGCCTGGCGTGAAGCCTCACCCCGCAGTACTGGTCCCCGTTGACGATCTGGGGTGGGATGGCTTTGGGGTTGCCTGCCTTCGCCCTCATCTCCTCCCGCAGAGCGTTGTCCTGGGAGATATCCACCAGCTCGTACTTGATGTTCTTCCCATCAAGGATTCGGGTTACTTCGCTCTGTTGGGATTTGATCTGGAAGCCGGGTGGGAAAGGCAGGTTACGGGGAGATGGAGAGGAGCCCGAAGGGAACACACCCAGCGTGCCAGCCAGGCTCAGCTCTGCACCCACGGCAGCGCGGGGGGCACACCCAGCACGGAGGGGTGCGTTTGGGGACAGATGGGGACCGAGGATGGGCCCGGGGGGGTTTGGCTTCCCCACGGGAAGAGAGATAGCCACCCACGGGAAGAGGG